ATTTCAAGTTTTCCTTTCTCTTTGGAGTGTTACAAGGTGCAAAGACTAAAGTCTCAAACCAAAGAGATATTCTTTATAAAAGTTAAGACTCGTCCACGCCCTCCTAAAACGACTCGTTCTAACACGCCCCCACATGTCTACGTCACTGTGTGGGAAGATTTGCATAACACCGCCCAAATGTTCACACAAAGAACAGTGGTTAAGTTATATTTACAACACTCTTCCAGAACAGTTCAACCCAAATATTCAGATGTGTGCAGTGCATTTTATGGAGGACAAGGACTGTTTCCTGGGAGAGTAGCCTACAATGCCGTCTGTGCACAAAGGCTGTTTCTATAAAGTGGGGCAATTCTAACTTTGCAAGGACACTCTGGCGCTTCTGACTCACAGACTGTAAGTATGTTTTCATATTTAAAGAATTTGCCACTGATGATTCAAACGTGAGTTTTGAGCAGTGTAGAGTAGCGCTTGTTGTTTGTCGTTTCTCCGATCACAAATGCAGACATGGTTTTATGTTTACGCGGCGTGATACGCAACGAGTGAAAAGACAGTATAAGTCTTTATAATCGGTAATTATGTCCCCACTGGATGCAACAAATGCCTAATTTATAATGGGTTTTATTGGTTTGGTCTCGTCGCTCCGGCCGGGACACGCCATCACAGTATGGTAAGGGGCGTAACATTTCTGTCACACGCTTGAGGTAGTCGGCCAATCACAACGCACTGGATAGCTGGCCAATCAGAGCACACCTCGCTTTTCAGACCGATGAGCTTTGTAAAAATCGGCGCGTTTCAGAAAGGTGGGGCATAGAGGAGAAACAATAAAGTACTCTATGTGGAAAATAATGTGTTTTTTGAACCTTAACGCATAAACACATTGGATTACACCAAATACACAAAATAATGTTCTTTTTAGCAACATCATATGACCCCTTTAAAAGCTGCTGTCGGTTAATGAAGATTTGACAAAGAAATCGCAGCCCGATTGGACTCTTGTCGGAAAGTGATAAGATATTCAGTTTTATGGACATTGCCATCTTTGGTATTTTACTTTGGTCACTGTCGCTATGGTTACTGGTAAGGAATACAGGCTTGACTCCCATTGACCGTTCATACAGACAGTATTCTAAACACAACTGTAAGCTGCTGTGTGAACGGGACATTTCGAGACTCACACCTGTAAAGAAAATGCGGTTGTCAGTCCCAAAACCTGACAGTGTGAACGTAGCCATACACTACCTTGATAATTGATAAAGACTACGTTCACACTGTCAGTTTTTGGGACTGACAACCGCATTTTCTTTACAGGTGTGAGTCTCGAAATGTCCCGTTCACACAGCAGCTTACAGTTGTGTTTAGAATACTGTATCGCAGTACCGCAGAACACAGAACTGATGGGAGCGGCTCTGGGGATCTAAAACTTTCAGATGACACACGGCTTATTTCTCAGTCACTGTAAGTTACTGAAAACACACATGAAAACACGTAACGTTAACACACGATAGACGCACGTTTGTGTGGCAGAGCGGCTCTCTCTCGTGCTGTATGATGTGAAAGACCATTAGTAGTCCAGTCGTGTTCCGTTCCCACAGCGCGTGTGTTCAGGTTGTGAGTCCTGAATATTTACGGGTGTGAGTTCGGTTACAGAATGCGGTTGTCACGCCCGTAAATACTGTGTGTGTGAACGTAACCGTATTAAGGACTCAAAAACAGGACTGACAACCGTATTCTGCTGCTGTGTGAACATGGCCAATAATAATAAGAAATGTTTGTTTAGCAGCAAGTCTGCATATTATAATGATTTCAGAAGGATCATGTGACATTGAAAGACTGGAATAATGGCTGCTAAAAAATTATTTACAGGAATAAATTACATTTTAAAATATATTCAAATAGAAACCAGTTATTTTCAAATGAAATATTTCACAATATTACTGTTTTAACTATTTTTTTAACAAATAAATGTAGCCTTGATTAGCATAAAATGTTCTTTCAAAACATTAGAAAAGGTTGTTTAAGATTAGTTAATGCAATGAAAAATAAATTTGATACAATACTTATTCTTGATTAAATTATTTAATAAAAACACAACTGTTAGTTCATGTTAGTTCAACTCCATTAAATAATGCTAGCAGACACACCTTTTGATTTAACATTAACATTATCTAAGAATGCTTTAGAAGTATTTTTTTTATTGTTAGTTGACATTAACTAATGTTGGTAACTAATGTTAACAAATGGAACCTTATTATACATTGTTACTAAAAATCACTTACACTTTATTTTGATACACTTACACTTTAGACATTCTACTAACTATAAGTAACCTTGCAACTACATGTCAACTAACTTTCATTAGAGTATTAGTATACTATAAAGTTAGGATTAGGGTTAGTAGAATCGGTTGATGTTCTTGCAGAGTTAGTAGAAAGCCTGTTGGGCGACCATCAAAATAAAGTGTTAGCAGATATTAAGCAGACAGTCTACTAACACTCTAATGGCAGGTAGTTGACATGGAGTTGCAAAGTTACTTAAAGTCAGCAGAATGCCTAAAGCGGACTGTCGAAATAAAGTGTTACAAAAATATCTTATCGACCTCAAACATTTGAACAGCTTTTTGATTTTTCATTATGGTCTCTTTGTGTTTTTAGGAGGTTATTTTTCTAGTCGACAGCCGGTTGACTTCATCCACACAGCCATTCTCACTCTGTGTGGGCAGGTTAGTGTTGTTTTAGCTGTAGTTCAGTTTCAGACACCCTCACTTATAAGTGCATGACGATGCAAACATCAGGAAGGCTTCAACATTGCAGGTGCCCTCTCATTCTCTCTGTCTAGCTGAGGGATGATGCTGTGGCGCTGGTTGATGTGATTGCTCCTCCTGACTTCATCCTGAACTCACCCATTGGCAAAGCAGATGGTGAGGTAAGAGAACGCATACACAGGCACACATGAGGAAGAAGACTCGCCAATCCTCCACTGTGACTGTGGAATCACTTATTGTAGACAAATGTCTCTGAAAGCTGCAGAAGTGATCATCTAATTTACAGTGACTCCAAAAAAGTATTTTCTTACCCGTTGTTTTTTCAGTGACTTTTAATCAAATGGTCGCAAGGTGATTTTTAGTGGATGATCTGTTTTGAAGTCAGTTCCTTTGAGTTCACACAGGCTTCTTAGCAAAGTAACCTCAAAACATTTTTTTGTGTGTGCATGTGTTTTCATGTGTATTTAATGTATAAACAGTTCTTTTGAATTTAAACATTTTTAGCATTGGAGAGCATAAGAGACTTTTAAACATTAAATTATTATTTTTTTTAAATAATTATTCCAACATTTTGACCAGTGATGTGTGTGTATCCACATTTAAAGACATTTTAAAGCCACTGTTATGACTTTAGTCTTGTATATTCATGTAAGTGCACATAATTTTTTATTATATATTTTCAAAAGTACTGTTCACGTATTTAGGGCATCAATTATACCATCAAGTTGTACATGTTGTTTAAAGATGTGGACAAATAAAAAGTTTTTTTCTAAACAGAATAATTTTTCCTGCTAGTCTATTAAATAAGTTGGCATTTGAGACTGACAGCTAGTGATGATGCAATATTTACTGGAAAATATTACAGCTTAATGTGTCACAAAGTCAACATCAGCTAATAAAATCAACAATTATTAGAACTTTGGGTGGTGGATTTATTTCCTCGTTTCACAAAATGGCAAGAAAAAAGCAGACAAGTTAATTAAAACAAACTAATTCCCAGCAACTGGAAAATCTGGAGGGTTTTTCCATTGTACTGCCCTTAAGGGTGTTTTAAATCCCTTTAGAAACGTGATTCTGACTAGACATTATGGTTGCTGACTCATTCCTCCAGTCATATTCTCTCAGCACTTGTTTGGCAGGCCATACAGTTCTGAGTATAAGAAAAAACTGCTTTATTGAAACACTAGACAGAGCAGAGCAGTCACACACACACACACACGCCCCACTGACACAGAGACCTTTATACGGATTCCCCTGCTGAGTGAGACACTTCATATTTACAGTTGGGGAGATGTTTACTGGAAATGAACTCTTCACTTTGGCCTTGAGTTCATTTTCTGACTCATGATCTGAGGTTCTGATAAAAGGGAAGACTCATTTATTAAAGCCGTCCACATGCTTGTTTCTTTCTATTACAGGGTTTCTGTAGGTCTTAAAGGTCTGAATTCTCCCTTCCACAAATTAAGGCCTTCAAAAAAGTCTTAAATCAGAGCAGAAATGCATGAAGTCATGACATTAAATGTTGCATGCATTAATGTCTTCCTAAGTATTTGTGTTTTTCAATACAACTATCTAAACATCCTTAACTCAAGATGCATTTGCTTGAGATGCGAATGAAGTCTGGAAAAATTTAACACAATTTTTGTTTTATATATATATGAACTTAATTTGTATCAATTCCACAGAAAACAAGAATTCTTATGTCATTTTGTTTCTCAAGTAAATGCGTCTTGATTTAAGGATGCTTAGATGTTTGTATTAGAAAACTGTAAGCTGTCGAAAAACAGCACTTCAGTGTAATCACAAGTATGATAAAAGTTATTTCCATATTCTAGTAGTTGCGAGCAAAGGCATTCATAATTATTTTTGGTCAAATAAATTGAAAAGTAATGGAGATCAGTTGGAAGTTATGTTTTCAAACTTTGAAGTGTAGCTAATACAACTCATTGTGTGTTCTCTAGACATTTACATTAAGGGAATATGTTCTGTATTATGTTCCCTTCAGCTTTTTCCTTGAATTTTCTTTACTTGGCTTTTAAAAAAAGTATTAGTCAAAGACATTTTCCTTCATCAAACCTGCAGAAATCCTGGTTTTAGTGGAATTGTAGAGGTGTTACTGATATCAAGGCACATGACCTGAGCTTATATTGGTCCAGCAGTGCAAGTGTTTTTTGTAAATAAGGACTTTGTGATTCAGTATCTGTCTGTTCATGTGTTTCAGCTCTACAAAAACCTGTGGTCTACAGTCATGCAGGGTAAGAACGTCCTGGAACGGCCATCTTGGTGGGCCGAGTTTTGTTCTGACAAACCTGCGGTTGGATCTCTCCGAGCCAAACTGTAACTCTTCACGCTGGAAAATTGTTAGGGAAACAGGATCATTGCAAACATTCATCTGTTTGTCCTGAAAGCCAATACATTTTATAATGATATTATAATACAGTCATATGGTTGTCATTAATAAATTGAGTTTATCAATTGAAAGATAGTAACCGCTTATGGAACAGGGAGGTTAGAAAAGTCCAAGAAGAATCTCAGCCATGTTGATCTTAGTGTAAAATTATAAACCGATTCACTAAAACGTACTAATATCAGAATAAAGGAAGATTTGTGATGTACTGTAAACAATAACAAGAGCTCTTATTATAGCACTTCCTAATTCATTGTGCCATGATAAACTCATTTGTTTGGTTTGACTGATAAATGTTGCTATGTTGAAAGCTTCTATTGTTTGAATGCACAAACAACTAAATCATAACAAAACCCTCAACAATCACAGTGTTCAGATGCTAACTAATTGTACAAATAATGCACATGTTGATAACTGCTTTCATATAGATCTACTTGGGAGTGCACATGTATGATTGGTTATTTTACATAATGTTAGTTTGATTATGTAATGTTGAATGATTTTGAGCACAAACGCTTGTATGTATGATTAATACATGATATTTAATATGTAAGAATGTAATTATAATCTTGACTTTTTATCTAAATAAATATTTTTGAATTCTTTTCATTTACGCATGAATGCAGTGCAATTGTATGTTATATGATATATTATCCCATGTTGAAGCATGAGACAGTCTTAGACTAATGCAGATTATACTGCATTAAACTATGGAAACGCCGTTAATAACAGATGGCTGATTCAGAGATGATTTCTCCCATTTAAAGATGGCTGGGCCGTGCATCAGATTCAGTACACTCAAAACAGCTGTTATTGTCATTTCATGCTTTTGGGACAGGTTGGACATGGTGTAAGCAGGTGCAGGTGGGAATACTTAACACTGTCTACGCTGAATGCATGTGACCTGATGCAATGCAGCCAAACTATAAGAGCCCATTTGAAATAAAAAAGTCTTCTACACTACAAAGAGCAATACTTTTAAATGAGGACTTTATGTGCCATGCAAAGTTTTACTGAGTTGATTTCTGCCTCTGACCATGCTGCTTAATCTTAAAGAACTGTTTCCTGATCCTGGGAGAGTAGACTACAATGCCGGCTGTTCTGACTCAAAGACTGTAAGTACGTTTTTTATATTTAAAGAGTTTTTATATTTTATATATTTAAAGCGAGTTTTTTGGGCAGTGTAGAGTAGGGCTTGTTGTTTGTCATTTGTCCAATCACAAATGCAGGCCTGACAGGGCATCATCACAGTATGGTAAGGGGCGTAACATTTCCGTCACACGCTTATAAGTATTCGGCCAATCACAACTCACTGGATAGCTGGCCAATCATAGCACACCTCGCTTTTTTAGAACGATGAGCTTTGTAAAAATCGACGCGTTTCAGAAAGGCGGGGCATAGAGGAGAAACAATAATGTACAGTATGTGGAAAATAATGTGTTTTTGAACCTTAAACCGCATAAACACATTTCATTAAACCAAATACACAAAATAATGTTCTTTTTAGCAGCATCATATGACCCCTTTAAACTGAACTAGGCAATCTAATGGATTTTTTGAAGTATTGTGCAATTCCTAAATTGTCCATTTTTTTTTAAATAAATAAATACAAAGTTCTGGCATGAAACTCTAGATGGTGCAGTCCGATAGGTTTAACTCAATCTGACATAATGACATCATTATTACACGGCACAGCTGATTGGTTCTCTCCTGTATCGGTAGCCAATGAGCTCGCTGCTTAACATTCAAATATATGACTAGTGCTTGCTGTAGCAGTTTGCAGCATGCTTTAGGGATGGGCGATACCTCTTATTATATTTCCGATATTTTCAAGCCCAGTATCGTCGATATCGATACCGATACCTATAAACTAAATTGATCTTTTAAATTATTAAAATAATATAATCAGTAATTATACTCACTTAAGATTAGATTTTAAAGCCACGTTTTTTTAAAACATTTCATAGGCCTTTTTTGTTTAAACTGTCAGAAATAAAATAACCTATTTTAGCCCTTTACTGGGGCAGTAACCTCACAGGTGCAACTATAAACCTAAAAGGGAGCACCTTTGAGGGTACCTCATGAAAAATAAACATGGTGTTACATAAGTAGCCTACTAAAATGTATTATTATTATTATTATTACCATGGTAAAATGTGGTTACTGCAATAAAACCATGGTCATTTTTGTAAAAGGCTGCCAGGCTGTTGCACCCCTAAAGGTGAAACTTTAGCATATTTTTTTCTGACAGATTTATTGACAGCAATTACAGAACAGGACACAATCCATTTGAACTTTTAACAACCAGTTTAAATAAATTTACTTGCACAAACTAGCCAATTTAAAATAAATATTACATGTACACAAAAGTTTGGGGTCAGTAAGATTTTGTAATTTTTTAAGTCTCATGCTCACCAAGGCTGCACTTATTTGAACCAAAAAAAGTGCAATATTGTGAAATATAACAATTAAAAATAACTATTTTCTATTTTAATATATTTTAAAATCTCATTTAAAATGCATCTGTGATCAAAGCTGAATTTTCAGCATCATTACTCCAGTCTTCAGTGTCACATGATCCTTCAGAAATCGTTCTAATATCATTTGCTGCTCAAGAAGCATTTATTATTATTGCTGCTTTATATTTTTGTGGAAACCGTCATGCATTTTTCAGAATTAATTTGATGTATAGTAACAATGTTATGTAATGTAATAATGTGGCAATGGTTTCTATAGATCTACTTATGCTTCTGATGCTTTTGGGAAACGCAGCCCTATTTGAACAAGCACTGTGAGCCATGCTTCAGCAGCAAACGCTGTCTGTGATTGATTGGTTCTGTCTTTCAGCATTTGCGTGTGTTCCGATGAGCAGGAGAAATGGTTCTATCCCACACAATTATTTGCTAATATAGTCTATTTTTCCACTTAGAAGCTTATTTTATGCACTGAATTTCTTGATAAATAAACAAAATTAATGGTTAAAAAAATGCACTTTGGAATCGATATTTTTATGTGAGGATCGATCCTTTCGATACAACATCAGTATCGAAAGTATCTATACTTAAGGATCGATCCGCCAATCCCTAGCGTGCTTCAGAAATCCTCCACCTTCCCCAGCTCCACCTGTGTAGATCTGCTACGGGATGATCATGTATGTTATGGGGGTTATTTCATATATGTTATATGTGCAGCAGCAGTATTTCTTACATGCTCACAGCAGCATGTTGTGGATGTATTGGCAGTAGCAAGTCTCGGTACTTGCTCTGCCGCAGCAGCGTAGCAGATCTATTCCACCGAGACCAAACACATTAACATTGTCATGTACATTACCATACCAATCCCTCCGAGAGTTGCCATGACAGAAATACATTTATTCAGCAAGGATGCATTGAATTGATCAAAATAAATCTGTTTTAAATAAATACTGTTATTTTGAACACAGGAATAAATATATTTCAACTGCCCCTCTCTTTTTCAGCACTTGTTGCTCTATTGCTCTTCCTTTGTGCCATTCTTTGAATCCCTATACATGTGATTGGCTGAGAGAATGTGTGTCTGCATTCCACACACTGAGGTGAGGTCTCTGCCGATGGCCCTGGACAACAGTGTGCACTTCAGTGTCAAGTGTGTTTGTGTTTCTGCAAGAGCGTGTCTCATTGAATTAACATTCTTACACACACATGCAAATCTAACAGCTTGTGGCTTCTTTGGGACACTCCACTAGTTTGTTTTTATTGATGTGGTCAGGTTTAGAGACCAAAGCAGGAAATTGTAGCAGACTTCACAACTGATGAACTTGAATGAAACCATCTGAAATGTGCATTACTGTCAAACATTGATGAGTGTGTTTGTTTGTACGAAATATGTTTTAAATTTTATAACCAGCTAGTATTTTGCTTACTAAAAAGTATTTGGATTTTACCATGATATATCATAGTAATACCAATTTGAAGTACCTTATATAAATGCCATGTGATATGAATATAAACAGTAATATGGTACATAACAACATAGCATAACTTTCTGATACCATGGTACTACCACAGTACTTTGTAGTGGTTAAAAAGTGATTCTCCCTTGTATATAGAAAATTTTTTAAACATTGAACTTGTTTTGGTCTCAAACCAACATGTTTAGAAGTAATTTTTGTGTGAAACCAATGGCTACATTTAAGGAACTGTAATTAGCGATTAGCTGCATAGATTATTATTATTATTACAGAACACACCCAATGTAACACATCTTTGTTTAAGTTATTTTTTATGCCAAATCTTTATTTACCCAGCTTGTAGACAGCAAGACCCATTCTGAGTTGAACCACTTGGGTGTGTTGGCATAGCACTTCGCCACAACAGCTTGCTAATATGCTAAATCTAAACAGAGCCAGTCATCTGTCGACCCAATGGTTCCTATTTATCTTAATTCCTGAAAGACTCAATTCTGATTTCCTCCATGGTCACATGTGGTTTGGCTTAAATGCTGTACTTCAGCACAATATGACATTTATTACTTCAAATGTACTGTACTGTATGTTTGTGGTTTTTATAGTCAGATTTAAGGACTAATTAAATTAGCATGTTTTAAAACTGTGTCAAGAGAAAGCTGAAAATATGTTACACATCTGAGGAAAAGAATGTGTAAGGAGTTATGAAGTGGATTTTTTATTATTATTTTAATACCTATGTTCTTTGAGGTAAACATACAATGTTATTATTTTTGGGGGCCAAAAAACAGTCATACATTTTCAAATATTATTATTTTAAACCCTTATCCTGACCCTTGGTCTGAAAAGATCAGTTTACAGTCCATCTGAGGTTTGTGCAGATGAAAAGATGCTGCTTAAACTGTACTCATCAAAATGAATGCGTTTACTCTACCATTTGTCCTGTTGTCAGGAGTAGCTCTAGTGCGTGGAATACATTAGATACTGTATCCAGTTTATTGATCATAATGGTTCTGTTTGCTTTTGATGCGGTGTGACACTCACGTACGGTGTAGACAATAATAACCAACTAGAGAGCAGCAGGGTCAAATGTCACAGCAGTGCCAGACCAGCAGTTTTAAACCAGAAGTTAATGTGGAGATTATAGCATCATTAAGATTAGGCTTAGTACCTTGGTGTTACAGTAGGTATTTGTTGTGGTGGAACTTATAGTGAAGCAGCCATTTCCATATGTATTTGCCAGTGTGATGTCACAGATCCCAAAACATCCAAATGAGCCATTTTTGTATGGTTACCTAAAAGCAAAGGGGAATGTTTAGGCTATAAAATGTAGAATATTTTAATGGTTCAAAGTCCTCTCGTATGTCAAAAGATCAAGGAGAATTAGATTTCTCATGACCCATTTAAATTGAATGGGACCTTGTGGAAAAAAATGCAGGATGTGCTGCAAGCAGCTTTTCAGACAGACTGCACATCTGCAACATGACTCGCTTTCCATTTATAGAACTGTTTTCTGAAGCCCCTCATCTCAGAAAACACAAATTGTAGGTTATTCTTGAAAAATTACAGTGGACAGGGGTGGCATCCATCTTGCATCTTCGCCAAGTCCATCTTTTTTTTCAAGATATAAGTTTAATACAAA